TCGAAAGCCTGGGCATCATATTCGATAATACTTCAGTGGGAAAACCACCTGGATTACAACATTGCCACTGCACCTCCACGTTATTGGAACTCTCTCATGCACGTCGTCTCATTCCACAGGGCGTGATCAACGCGCCTGCGACGGTCCTCGTTCGCTCGCAGGTCTGATGCTGCATCTTTATGTATGAAAGCGGGTAAAAAACGTGACAAAAATCGATAATTTTTGTTAAACTTTAAAGTGAGATTTCTTTTTGGCCATACACCACTTGAGTATGTCTGTGATCTGCAGGTGGAGCTGGTTTGGTTGCCCGGTCAGCTACTCGCTGATTTGTGCTTGAGGAGTCTGACTCATAAAGCTCTAGAGCGGGTAGCCCAACTCGTTAGGAATCGCCCACCATTACACGTCCCGCGGCCCAGATTAGAGGCTGATAAGATGCACTACCGCCCAAGAGCTCCCGCGCTGTGCAACTGGCTTCTAACCAAACTTATGTTGCAAAGGCTACAGCCGGATAGCATCAGTATGACGCCCTTAACATCGGTGCGCGACTCACGTGCGCATGGCCTTGACATCAGGTTATTTACTGTGCATACGTACACTACGCTGCCGTCCGTACTGTTTACCTATAAACACTGATCGGGGCCTAATATAATGCCACCGCCGCTGTGGGTCCTTTCTAAAAGTAATATACCCATACACGCAAGTGCAGACAAAACTGAAAGATCAGTCTCGTAGCAAGGCGCTAACCTCACAGCAAAGGTTCTGTTGATCATATCGTCAAGTGGCGCCATAAAGGAAGTCCTCTGTAATAATGGGCTTTTTCTGGAGCACATACACTGAACTAGGTCCTTAATCCTGAAACACGCCTTCAGCCTTAGCCCAGCCCCGCCATCTCGACCATAGTATTTTGTAGCTACGCGAGTGACGAGTAAGCGTTCACGCGTCAGATCACAATGATAGCGATGCCTACGTCATGATAATGCAAACACATGACGCTAGCTCGCATGACGCAATCCCTTTCGTATCGCGCCACTCAACTGACACGATAGCCGCTACTGAGGGCCAACCTTCCGTGAAACACCGCAAGCTCCACCAGGGAGTCCCACGCCTTCTGCGCCGGCAGATGGCGCGCCGCGGCCGCGGAGCTTCGCCGATATCAGCCGCAGATAGCCGGCGGCGGTCGGCCTGCACGATAGGGCCACACGGGGCCACGAGGCCCGGCGTGGCGTCACGGTCACGGCCGCAGCGCCGCTCGCGACAGGGCCTTGACGGGACGAGCGCGACGGCCGCCCTCCGCGTCGTGCGAGTGTCGGCACGCGGTGTGTCCAGCGTGGGGTGCCTTCCCTCGGCCGTCTCCCGGTGATGCGGCGGACGTGCTTGATGTCCGTGGGGGACGGAGCGGATGCTGGCCCCGAGCGCGAGCGGCCGCGCAGAGTCAGGAAACGCTCGCGGAAGACGTCAGCCGCGCCTCAGCCACCGAGTCAGGACCAGGCTGCGGTGCCGTCACGGCAGCAGGCCTCGGCGCCGTCACGGCAGCAGGCCTCGGCGCCGTCACGGCAGCAGGCCTCGGCGCCGTCACGGCAGCAGGCCTCGGCGCCGTCACGGCAGCAGGCCTCGGTGCCGTCACAGCAGCAGGGCTCGGTGCGGCCCGCCGGCGGGGAGCGTGACGTCACAGCGACGCGGAGGAACAGCCTCTCCCGCAGCAGTCTTTTGAGGGAGCAGCCGGCACTGCCGGGTCCCTCGAGACCGGCTGTCAGTTCTGAAGTCTCGACGTCGGAGCCGAGTGGGTCTGAACAGGAACTCAAGGCGGGTTCACCACGAGGCGAGGAAACCCGGGAGCATGGCGATGCTGCACGTGGCGCGACTGCAGCATCACGTGGCGACATGCCGGACGTCGTGCCACGGAATCCATCAGCGGCGCCGGTCGTCCCTGTACACCGATGGGAGCGAAACCGTTCTTTCGCGGCATCAGATGACCACAAAAACGGCCCCGACGCTGGACTCCGAGAGCCCTCCATGACGTCACCTGTCCCGAATACAAGCCTCGGGCTCAGCGAGCCCTGCGCAACGTCCACTCCCAAACATCCCGAGCCCACCCTCGCCGCCTCCTCCTGCAGTGCGTCTCCTCGAGGGCCCGCTGACGACGCGCGCGCCGCCGAGCCCGGCTCCCAGGCGGTCGTGATCCCGCGCTCGCAGTCTGGCCACGACCCGTACGTGCTGCTCATCCCGCGTGACCTGGTCGCCTCCGTGCGCACGACGGTGCGGGACCGGCTGCCGGCGGCGGTGCATCCGCGCGTGCTCAACCTGCGGCGTGAGGCGGCGGGCCTGGTCGAGCCCCGACGGCCGCGGCGCGGCGCCGCCCGGCGGGCGACAGAAGGGGCGGACAGCGGAGCCGGTGAGGAGGCGGCGGAGGTGACGGTGCGCGGCGGTGGGGCGAGGATCGCCGAGTTCTGGGAGTACGTGGCTCACGAGGACGGCGACAGGGCGCTGGTCGGGACGCTGGGGGCGAGTTCGGTGGAGGAGACCAGCAGACAAGTGTACTCGAGGAGAGCAGACGGCCAGCGCAGTCTCTCGGTGCCCAGCTGGTCGTGCAGGACGCTGACTGGCTCGCAGGAGAGCTTGTCGCTGGGTACCGCCCCCTCGCTGGACCAGCTCTCCACCTACTCCAGCGACTCGAGCGAGATGTTCGTTCCGTTGCACGGCTCCGACACCTGCTCCGCCGGCCGCCCCAGCATTATCATCACCATCTGCGGCTCGAACCCCGGGCAAGCCACCTCCAGCCGGCGTTCCACTTACAGCGGACCCAGTGACGTCACTCGGAGACAGCCGGCGCACGCCGATGACAGCCGACGACGGTCCACGGGCAGTGCCGGTGACGTCACCAGTGACGTCGAACGGAAGCAGTCGGGACGATGTGACGTCGTCCGACTACCGCCGACGCGTGTTGACGTTGGTCATCGCCAGTCGGCACGAAGCAGCGGCACTGCCACCGACAGCGGTTCGTTCTCGTCAGTTCGGTCCGTGGACGAACCTGGGGCGGCAGCTGGTGGAGCCGCCAAACCGAGCCCGTCCAGCTGCTGCCGCCTGGCAGAGGAGGCCTGTGTCTGCGTTGCTACCTGCTGCTGCTTGTGCTTCACTGCACCTTGTGTGCTTTGCAAGCTCAACAGAGCCCTCTACCACACCATGCGCGATGCCGTGAACCGCTGGAGACGCGGTTAGTTAGGCGCCACTATGAATTGCGCCCATCCTTGCGAAGTCGTAGCGCTTTATCGTAATGTTGCAAACCAATACTGTGTGGGGGTGTAGTTCTACATTCAGTCTGGGGCGGCTGCAGCCTCTGCCCACCTGAACTTGGGCTCCAGCCCCCTAACTTTGAGAAGGAGGGCTAAATCTGGGGAGGAGCCTGTTTGCTGTTCGCATACTTTGGCGGTAGATTAATTCATTTTTCACCGTTCAACCTCCCATCCAACTTATTTTTTTAAAGCCACGTCCCAGATTCCGCGCCAAAGTTGTGCTGTGACAGAAGTCGTTATTCTTGGAGATGTTGCTTTGACTCCCGAAATGGCGCGCGACTGAGTAAAAGGCGCCTGCCATATATAGTCGTGATGGCCACATGGCTGCGGGAAAATGTTGATATATAAGTGCTGTGTTTTTTTTCTGAATAAATGTATGATATACTTCTGGACATTTCTCGGCGGAGATCGCAGATTAACAATCATTGTAAATATCGGGTTAAGAGTTTATGGCCATAGAAAGACAAAACATACTTGTGTATCAGCTGTTGGATCCTTGAAACAACAAGTCAAATATGGCGCAGGAATTTCAATCTCTAATTACCTTCCTGTCTGAATACTACGTCAAAACACATTCCTTCTATCCTCTGTCGCGCTAGGTACCACCTGTGCTACCAAACTTGCAAGACAACACTTCACGATGGACGCCTGAGCCCAAGAGCTATGCGCCCTTAACCAACAACAACAACAAACATACTACGTCAAATTGTGAATATTGCGGCTGGTTTACCCGTTTTATGTCTAGGATTAAGTTAACATCAAGATAGTAGTGCAGCTATGAAAGAGGGCCAGGTAACTTCTCAGATCTAGAGCAGTTTCCTCGCTTTTGTAGGCCTAAATCTTAAGAAATTTGGGCCGGCTTAAAAATTGGAAATAGTTTTTTTATTGTGTACATTGCTAACATCATATAATAGTCCAGACACATGCTCATCCCGATGTAAATTTCAAAGAACAAAATTAACAGAAGCTTATTTCTTCTCCAGGCATTTATAACAATGGGTGTCACCACGAATTGGGTTGATGGAGTTTGGTTTTTGGATCCAAGTAACTGTTGGGCAAATTGACTAGATGGGTTTATATTTGATCCAGATGGTGGGGGAGAGGACAAAAGGCTAAGGCCCCTCTTCCTGATGCTTCAAAGAGGCCCATGTGCTCTGGAGAGGCTAATAGATTCTGAGGGGCCTCATTTAACTGGCTGAGCAGACAGGTTTCTAACACAAACACCACAAACCAGCTTGACATGCTTAGACCTTGTCACTCAAGGTGACTAGGAAGGATCACAAGAAAATAATGCATTGCACAGGATAAAAACTGATAATTGTTTGCATATTTAGAGGGTGGTGGTTAGAGAGGTCTTAGGCTTTATTATGCTGTTTAGGGAACCTATATGACCAGATACAGACACACTGACTGCCAACAGACATACAATGTTACCCAATACCCAGTACCCAACCCGCGATTTATGTGACTACGATTCTTTCGGCGACTTAGGCGTAGCTGGCAGTAGCCATACATACTCCAATTAATTGTTAGGTGTGTGGCCCAAGACAGTTGCACGCACCAGTCATGTTGTATGTTTTATTTCCCTTGACTGTTAATGTTGCGATACTCATTTTACTCAAGCATCATATTTCTGACTCAGTTAAGACTGCTAGCATATTTTCTGTTCTAACATTTCAGTCGAAACAAAAACTCTGCGTCATTCAATAGCCATCAACTGAACACAACATCGCCCAGCCCAAGGATTAGCTAGCTAGCCTCAACTGACCGTGAAGTCAATTGGTCTGCTTGATTTTGATGGTAGTTATCAGCCAACTTTAACTTACTTTGCGATATCTTTTCTGAAATACTTAGGCTGGAAACGGCAAGATACACCATGGTCTGCAGCACATGAACGCGCCCCATGAAAGTACGTATGTACATACTCACTATGTCTAGCCCTCTAGGGTTGCGAATAGTTAATAGTAAAATAGTAAATAGTAAATCAAGAAGAAAATAGTTATCTGTGTGTAAGTAACAAACACCATAATCCGAAGTTTAATGGCCAAAATCTGAGTGTTTTTGGAGAGTGCTTAAAATTCAAGGGGTCCATAATGTTGGCACCCTACATAATGATGCCCTGCCGACAAAAAAACACCTTGATAAAATCCTGAAGTTCCCCTGCTGGTTGGCACATATGTTAAGCTGTCATTCTGACTTAAAAAGCATGTAGCTGAATGAGTACCAGCCTATTTGAAATTTCCTCTCCTTAGTGTCTTATGCACTAAATTGAAGGCACACACTTTCAAAAGCATGCTGGCACCTTTAGGTGTTCATGCTATGTGAGAATAATAACAGGTTCAGGGAACTTGCATCCCATACAGGATGTATTCTCCTTATACAGACATAAGTCCTCTTCAATAATGTTTAGAATAAAACAGATGTGTATGCTTTAACCCTGATAACCCAAGTATGCTCTCAAAACTCCTGGCTATATGTGTAATGAATCAGTGTAGTTTGTCCCTGTTCAATAATGAGTCTTTCTGAAAATGCCTGTCTTTCAGGACCATAGTTGAGCATGTCATCTCATCCATCTAAAGGCAGACAAACACAGGGCATCACTGAGGAAGATGTGCTCACCCAGGTGCAACAGATTGATCAAGATGAGAACGCAGATGGGGATCAGAGTTCTCACCGAAGTAACTGTCTGACGCTAAATGAAGATGATCGTCAAGCAAGGCCAGCCAGCCTTCCATGCAGCATGCTGGAGCCCCAGACGTGGAACACCAGCCAGTCCAATGAGACAGGAACTGGAGTGACAAACAACGAGCCCTCAGATAGCAGTACGGCGGAGCATCCCTCCTGGCTGGACGACCAAACAGTCGAAAATGCCGACAACGAGCGTCTCGGCTGCCAGTCCTGGCGCGAGGATGCCGGGGACAACGGCGACTCCAGCGCCAGCACAGCATCGGACCGCACCCACACCAACCGCTCCCCCCCGAGTGGGATGACAGGCGTGACGGTGACCGGCACGAGCGGCTCGCCGTCGGGCCCCGATCTGGCCAGTGACGTCACCGCGTCGCCGCTGCCCGAGGGCGGCGGCGGCCGCTCGCTCCACCCGTCCGACATGCAGCTGCGCCTACAGCAGGCTATCGAGAAGGTCGAGCAGCTTGACCGCAGCCTTGAGAAGAAGTTTAAGGAGCATTTGGTGAGGAGTTGGATGTCCCAGGAACGCTCTGGAAAGACAGAATTGATTTTGATAATTACCTATATACCGCTGACATTTTGATAATTACCTATATATTTTTTGCGTATGCATAGACTATTACATGGTACGTCATTTCATGCTTTGGATGGTTAAAGGCTTGCTTTAAATATGCATAATTTGATGAATGATTGATAGTAACGTATACTGCTTGACGCCAGTATAGCGCTCCAACCGAAAACGTTAGTATCCTGCATTTACAAATGGTACTTAATGGTGCGACACCATGTTATAGTTCCATTTTGTTTGAACTGGTTTTTCAAAGCTATTCCCGGCGTCAGTTTTCCACAGAAGTGGGCTGTTTTCAGGACCATTGCAACACAGTGGAAGACTCGCTGGGTGTCAACCATTGCCCCTGCAATTACTGTAACCCTAATTTCCACGTAGCTTACACCTCAATCTTCCCGGCGCCTCCCCCTGGTCGGACCTACAGAGGAAGCCTACCCGCCCCGTCTCCCCCTGACCTCCCCCCTCGGCGGCAGGACGCGCGTGCGGTGACGGCGGACCTGCAGGCTCTGGTGCGTCGGGAGCTCACTGAGCTCAGCTGCCGCGGTGCCCGGCGCGAGACGCGCGAGGAGGCAGACAACACGCTCCGCTTCCTCAGGGTCCTCGTAGAGAACGGTGCGCGCCGTCCGGCGGCCAGGCCGGCTCAGTGGGACTTCGGGGCTTTTAGGGGGTGGACGGGTGACCGCGGTCTAAGATGCAGTGAAAGGACCCAGGGGATGCAGTCGAGGGACGTGGGGGATGCAGTCGAAGGATGTGGGGGATGCGGTCAAAGAACATGGGGAATGCAGTAGAAGAATGTAGGGGCTGCAGTCAAAGGTCGTACGGGATGCAGCTGAGGGACGTGGGGGATGCCGTCAAAGCACGCGTCAGAATGTGTCTGAAGATTCTGCCGAAAGCTGCGTTAAGATATATTTGTCCTTTGGAGCAGCCGGGCGGAGGAATTATTCGTAAAAAGGGAATGTTTTCGGACCATGTAATTGGTATTGATGTAACGTGTTGGCTCGTTTGCGATTGCACGGAACAGTTCACCCTTCGTAGTTATTCGCGAATTATGTTGCGGTATTCAGTTTTTGTTACCACAGCGTTCTTCATTTTGTCGCGTCTTTGAATTTCGCCTCGATTGGCTTTGGTTGGTAGTTGAAACTTGAAATGAGATGCATTGTTTCTGCTAGATATTTTTTGCAGGCTTTAACTCATCTATTTGTTTTGCTTTTTCTTTCACCTCCTCCCTTAAACTCGCCATCACTGTTGCCCTCTCTCCCGGCAGACTCGGAATCAGACACAAGCAGCCAGGTGACGCCCATCTTCCAGACGCAGGTGCGGTTCGGTGCGCGGGGCGTGCCCCCGCCGGCCGACGCCGCCGGGCCGCTGTCCGTGTCATCCCGCCAGCCGCCGCCGCCACCGGAGGGAGTCGACGAGCCGGGCGGGACCGGCGACGACCGTGCGCCAGGCCGGCAGGCCGCCGCCGCCGACGACTACTTCATCAGGAGGAATATTGAGGTTGGTCTCCCGGTGGCCTCCCGGTCCAGGGCGCTTGCGTTGCGGCATTCCGGACGCATATTGAAACGTGATCTTGGACGATATGAACACCGGACACTGCAATCTTGGACGTCTTGATAGCTCCCGGCATTTCCGTGTGGCGAAGCTGCACTATTGTGTGCTCTTTGGAGTGTCGGTTTTCTTCGCGGGCAGTTGGATTTGCAGACTATTGGTGATTTCTTGAGCGGTTGGTGCCGTGTTCGCCGCGGCCGGTGCCGTTGCATCGTCCAGACCAAACGGGCGCGCGCCGCTCCAGATCACCGGACCGGTGGCTGACCGGCTGTGCCATTGTTGGCTCCTCAGTTGGCGCAGGAGCTGGGCGGCTCGCTGGCCATGACGGAGGAGGAGCGGCGCCGGCTGGAGCAGCTGCTGGCTGAGGAGGACGAGCCCGAGAACGCCTTCAGCATCGACGAGCAGAACCGCCGGCTGCTGCACAGCCTGGACGACCAGCTCAGCGTGAGATCCACGGCCGCGCCGCCGCTTTTCGTTTGTGGCGTCACGTCTAGCGCCTCCACAATATTACACGGCCTCTCCCACAGGCATCTGTGCGTGGCTTTGTGCTAGCGGATTTGCCGCTGCATGTGTAGTGACATTCGCGTGAGGACGTGACGACCTATGTGTTTTTACTTATGTCTGGTTTGATCAGCAAGTCGTGCGAGAAGGCTCGCACAACTTTCTGATTAAACCAGAAGCATCTGCCACTTCTGCCAATGGTATTCGGTAACAGTTTAACTGCTGCGAACACCCTGGTCACATGTATGGTGCTCGGTAAGGCTGACTGCCACGCGACACAAAGTGGAATGAACGGTGTCCGGCCGGCCCAGGGCGTGGGGCTACCGGGGCGTCATCGCCTACCTCTCGTGCAGAGCATGGGTGCCGGCGGCTCACTGCTGCCCGGCACACCACCGCCGCCGTCCGGCTCGGACGCGGACGGGGAGAGACCTGACGACGGTGGCGCCGCCGAAGATGAGGCGGCCGGTGGCGGAAGTGACGCCGAGCTGGACTACCTGCAGAGGACCAGAGAGGACCGCGAGGCCGCGGCGAGGATGGAGGCGCTGGAGCGCAGACTGGAACAGCTCAACGCCCCGCTTGTACGTGTTGTGTTGGACGTTTTGGAAACCACTTCTTTAGTGAACGGTGGCCGGTTTGATTTGACGAGGAATCAGCGTCGTCACCAATATTTCGTTTTGATAGGCACTGCGTTTACAGTGCATCCATTCCTAATGATTGTGATTACCGGCTAAATAGAATCCCCGCGGTTGGTTGTGCCAGCGAGATCTAGGGGACTGACTAAGAATACAACACCGCATTTCATTTGCTTGGCTTTTCCCAACCCAACAAGAAACAACCCAGTGACCAACAACACTAAAGCAGCATAAGTGATGTTGGTTTTGCAGCCACACATGCCATCAGTTTTGCGGCCTGCCTGTAGCGAAAAGAACGACTCCATCCCTGCCAAAAGTGAATCAGCTGCGGTCCGTCTCCATCGCAGGAGGTTCGCCCGCTGGACCGGTGCGACGTAGACAGCATGATCCACGACACCATCGCGTCGCTCGTCTCCGTGCCGCGCGCCGACCTCAAGTCCAGCACGTCCAAGACGTCGTACCTCGCGGCGCTCTCCTCCTCTTGCGACGTGCCCGGCTCCAGCGTGTTCACCAGCGAGCCGGCCGACGCCTGCGACTCCGCCTCCACCTCGTCCGCGTCGTCGTCGTCATCCCTCTCGGAGCGAACCTCGTCGCCGCCGCCGCCGGCGTCCGGCGTCGGCTCCGACGTCAGCGCGCCGGCCGCGCGCGCGCCGTCGCCGGCCGCGACGCTGACCGGCGCGCCGAGCGAGGTGCGCTCGGACGCGACGCTGGACCTGCGCTCGGTGCTGAGCGGCCGGCACGCCGACAACGAGCGGCAGCTGGCGCGCGAGCTGCGGCCCGGCTCGCCCAGCGCCTGGCTCGTCGACGTTGATCAGGGGCGCCAGCGGGTAAGTCGCCCCGAGGGGGCTCACGCAGGGAGCAGCGTGTGGCAGCCTGTCTGGGGAGGGGACGGGTTACTGGGTCTCGAACGGTGGGGAAGGTGGGTGTTCTAGTGAAGGAGTATCAGAAGAGGAACTCTCACTGCAAGAACGGCTCGGAGCTGCGTTGGGTCTCCGCGTCGCTGGCAGCGCGCTCACGCGCTTGCGGTGTTACTTGATGGCCTGCGCCCTTCCCGGCCTTTAATTCACGCATTTAGGAGAGATCCCTCAATATATTGTTAAAACTTGAGTGAAACGTAGACACCAATGTTATGGCTTCGCTTGCGACATTCATAGCCCAGATCGGCTCCCTGTTTCTGCAAAGCTAAGACAGTAATATTAGCCTTATTCCTCGGAGAAAAACCAGGAGAATGGAGACAGTTGGGTTCATATTTCGGCAACATACCTTTGTCGAAACAATGACTTCATCTATGTGAATGATGCTCCTCACTACTTTACTGAACAACTTACGTAGTTTCTGCGAAGCGTTTATGAACCGGTCTGGACGCTGGCTTCACATCCCGTAGCAAGCGGCGCTCAACACTCAGATGTAATGGCTGATCGTTGGTGGACGAGTGCCAGGACTGAGCGTGCTCGCAAGCGGCGCTCAACGCTCAGTCTTAATGGCGAACCGTTGGCGGACGAGTGCCGGGACTGAGCGTGCTCGCAAGCGGCGCTCAACGCTCAGTCTTAATGGCGAACCGTTGGCGGACGAGTGCCGGGACTGAGCGTGCTCGCAAGCGGCGCTCAACGCTCAGTCTTAATGGCGAACCGTTGGCGGACGAGTGCCGGGACTGAGCGTGCTCTCCGCAGTTGCAGCTGGTGGTGCCCCGCCTGTGTCGTAAGGTGCTCAGCAGCCTGCTGGAGAGCGCCGGCCTGCAGCTGCCGGTGCCGGAGGAGCCGCCGCCCGCCAGCACCGCAGGCGACGCCGAGCAGCTCCAGCCGTCGGCCGCCGCCTGAGGGGCCCGGCCTGCTCTGGTCCGGTCTGGTGGTCACCGCCGGAGCTGCCCTGAGGGCCGGCACTGCTCTGGTCCGGTGTGGTGTACCCCCCCCTGCTCTGGTCCGGTCTGGTGTACCGCCGGAGCGGGCCGGGTCTCTCGCCAGACTGCCCTGTGGATGGCGTGGGTGCCGGCTCAGCAGGGGCCAAGCAGGGACAGGCGAGGGATTGTTGGGGGGGGGGGGGTGGAGAAAGGGAGGGGAGGTGCGGTAGTGGAGCTGGCTCTGGGAGGCGACCCGGCGGTAGGTTTTGTTGGCCTGAGGCCGATCCGGTGGGAGAGGCAACCTAGTCGGATGCGCGTTGTGCTCGTGATCAAATGCAAATGTTCTCTAGCGATACCGATGTGCCGCTATGATGTATTTCAAAATGAAATGCGTGAGACCTGGTATGGGTTGCCATCAATGGCAAAAGCAAGCAGCTAGAACTTACTGCATGCCGGTTGTGTAATGTGCACCAGTACACTGAGTACGCTCAACGCGCGTGACGGGAACGTTCACGCATTTGCCAACTCGGGTTGGACCGTGACTTCCGCTATTTTTTGTGAAGAGATAAGCGTCCTTTCTGGCGAAGAAAACGGTGCTTGAAAATCTGTAGTAACTATTTTGGCCATTTTGTGTGCATGATTCTAAATGGGCTGTTTTGCCAGACTCACTTGCATCCATGAGTTAATATTATTTATGTGAATGATTGATTCGTGATGAAAATGATGTTCAAATCATTGTACAGTATCTGCATTTACCACATGCTTAGTGAATTACATCTGGTATACACTGTCATCAAAATAAAATGGTGAATCTCGTCCAGTGACGCCTTTGTCGCCCCTTCGTGTAAGATGCATCGTTCTAGCGTTTTCTCAAAGTGTGTTCTTGGGTGCAGCATCTACACTTGTAAATCGGAGGTGTCGTTGCGGAAGCGCGTGTCCGTGTGGGTCCCTGCGTATGTCCCCCCTTCCCCATTTTGGGGACAGTTCTGCCAACCACGGAACACAAGCCAGGAAACCCCGAACATCGATTGGCCCTCCCGGCCGCCATGGGGACTTCCCCGAGATAAGCATGTCACGCCCTTTGCTTGATTGGTCCGATACTGTGAGGACCCTACTGCACTTCAAACCAAGACGACCCACTTGTTACCGTGCCTTGAATGCCGTTCATTTACATTAAGGTAAGAAGGGAGCCAGGAAAGCATTATGCATGGGGGCCTGGTTTAAAAATGCAGCGAAGACGCAACCAAGCCAGGAATAATATTGCGAGGCATACTTCGCGCACTTCTACCGTAATCAGGTGCTCAAAAACATCACTATATATGCATAGCGGTAAGAAAGCACACCCTTGCCACGGGCAACGGGGCTGTGCCCCCGCGCAAAGGGCTTCCCAGCTTCAAGGCCCCTCCTCCTCAGCAAGCTGGTTCCGATGGTGCGCTTTCCAGACGCGGCCCAGAAGGGGCCTCCTGAACTACAGCTGGGCTCCGAGCCGCGTTAGCCCCTCGCCCATGGATACGCTATTGCTGTGGTCGGCTCAAACGCCAGTCTGCACGCACGCTCACTTGCTGCGTGGTGGTATGGTTAAGGTCTTACATTGTACCAGTCGACACACGAAAAACAGCATTTCTTGTCATTCAATTATTTTTATGCGTAAAACGGAACGGAACGGAATGTGTTGCCTGCGTGTAACAACATTGAAACACAAAATTTTCTTTTGTGGCCATCACCCTTAGCGCTGCGGACAATCTTGGCGTTAATGCTTCAAAATATTTGGCACCCTTCCCTGCAATCGTTTCTCCTTTCTGTGTTCAACGAATATGGTATGGTTTGTGCTCGCTTTGTGTTGAAATATCGGGTTGCATCGTGACAATGTCATTGTTTGACTGGCCACTTAAGGTATTATGCACTCAGATGGTTTACTGAGTGGACCGTTTGGCTGTGCAGGGCATCAGTTATGCCATGTGTGCAAAACAGTGGTAGTAATGTAAAGATATAATGAGCGGCGCTTACATAGAGAAGGCTGGGGCTGGGCTGACTTTCTTTTTCCTTATTGGCTTGATCTGCAGTTTGATGTTGGTATGGAGTTTATTTGAAGGGTCTGTGAATGTAAGAACATGTCATAAATTATATAAGTTGCAATGCTGTAAAATTAAAGGATAATGGTTCTCAGTCACCAGTAGGCTTAATTGTTATGGGAAGCAGTAATGTTCATTTATCACAAATACACTGGTATGAAAGAAGGCTAATAAGTCAATTTCTAATTGGATTAGCTTTGTGTCTGCTTGTGGGTTGTCTTGTTGGCAAATGTTGGTTTGTGACATACTTTTAAAGAAATCAGCTGATTTTCCTGAACAATATGCCTTGTTAATGTCATACAGAGATTTGTAAGGTTGAGAGTTATGTGCATATGGTGAATTTCAATTATTTTAGTGATATTTATAAAATCTGATATCATTAGTTTTGGGCAGTTGGCTGTCACAAACTCCCAATTTCGTTAACTTAGACTTGAACAGTTACTATTCCATTCCTACAGAGTATCTGGAAAACATGAGCACCAACCAGTCACCATGCTCCGACATCAGCAGAAGAAATCCCCAGGATGACTATGAAGTCATTCAACGCATTGGCAGTGGTACATATGGGGATGTATATAAGGTATGCCATCCATATTAGATAAAACAAGCAAATATGCTCAACAATGTTGTATTGGATAAATGTGGAGCTTAGTTGCATGGTTATGTTTGCTGAAAGATGTCAGGATATCTTAAGAGAGGGCATTAGATAAGTTATTTCATATACCTAAAGATGTAAATGGTCCAGCCTAAGATATCTTCAATAAGGAAAGGACTTCAAACTGGAAAGGTAATGGTGGAAAAATGCAACAAGGCTCCAATACATCACCTTTCTGGCAATTGTCAGCTGCTTCAGCATACAGTCATGTACAGTGATCATGCTCTTGAATTCCTGCCAATAGAAGTGCTCAGCTGAAATTGGACTGTAAGTGTAGTTACGATTAATCAACGCAACACATCCTGCCGTGATATATCACACTGTGTGGTAAATGAATGTGATGTCATGTATCTGTATCATCTCACCGATGTCCCACTCATGTTTCAGGCAACAAGGCTGTCAACCAGTGAGTTGGCAGCAGTCAAGGTCATCAAACTCCAGCCAAGTAAGGATTTCTTCCATTACACTTGTCCAACTATGTGTGGTTAAGCCATCAGGACAATCACTTCATCAGCAAAACAAGTGACCTGAAAATAAATTATGCTTTTGGTGATGACAGCTGAAGTATTGCAAATATCACAATTTTGTAGTTGGGTATTGGTCACAAAGAGGTACATTACATGCTTATGTTTCCATGGTCCAGTTTCCATGGCCCATTCTGTCACCAAGACACCAAGACTGTAGGCCATAGCTTGTCATATATAAGGCCAGTCTTAGCACTGGCTAACACCTTTTCAATTACTGGCATCATGGTTGGTCAGATGTTGCTGAAGTCTGTAAGTGCACAATTCATGAAACACTTGTTTGCCATAATGTATGTGATGTCAAATCGGTATTTGCCCCACCTGTGTAAATCTAACACCAGCCTTTAAATGCTACAAGAATGGACAGATCTGTGGTTTGTGCTTGAAATCATGTGGCAAGGGGTACACTGCAATTCAGGTTGATGCCAGTGTGAATGGTTACTCTTGCCTCCATCAGACTTTTTTATCCGTGCAATTGCAGTGAGGACCCATCAAGATCTGGGTCAGGTCTGGGCCATCAGATGTCTTGTTTTGCAGATCACAATGTTTGTTCACCATCTTTATTTAATGGGAGACTATGAGTAACTTGTGCTGTTACTGTTGCTGTTCTTGTACTGTGCTGTTGCTGTTAACTTGTGCTCTTGTAGTAAGTTAAAAAGTGATGCCCAACCGAACATATTGCATATATATTGGTGGTTGCACAAATGTTAACCCACAGAAAGTGTGACGCCTGACTCAGCTCTGGCCTGGTTGTACATGTCTGCTTGAAATGGTCTCACTGTTCAAGTCTGCCTCCCTTGACCATGTTGGTAATGACAATGTTGGCATGGAAGTGCAGAGTGTGCCAAGTTTTAAGCAGTTAAATATTGTTTTTTTTTGGTTCAAACAGTTACTTGGAACCTCACTCCCCATCATATGTAGGCTTACTGTGTGCAATCTGACATGGCATGTTCCATTCAGCTGATCATACACTCATCATTGCCCCATGGGTTTCAGCTGATGACTTTGGCATCATACAGCAAGAGATCCTGATGATGAAAGACTGCCGACACCCGAACATTGTGGCCTACTTCGGCTCCTACTTGCGCAAGGACCGGCTGTGGATTTGCATGGAGTTCTGCGGGGGAGGCTCTCTGCAGGACATTTATCACAGTGGGTCGCTGTTTGGGCTAGTATTAGACCTTTCTGACCCCCCTGTAAGCCATCGCTTCCCTCAGACCCGATAGTGGCTCTCCCATCCCTTCAGGAGCCCCCGCCACCGTCGGAAACTCCGCTTGGTCGCTTTTCTCGGAACCGATAACGGCTCTCCCATCGCTTCAGAAACTTGTGCCACCGTCGGAAGCTTCGCTTCGTCGCTTCCCCAGAACCGATAATGGTTCTCCATCCCATCAGAAACGACCGCCACCGTCAGAACCCTTGTGTCGGCGCTTTCATCGGAACCTGTAGTGGTTCTCCCATCCCACCATAACCCACCGTCACCATCTTTCGGGGGTCAGGGATGACCGTGACTGATTTGGCGCATGCCATGCGCTGGAGGTCACCACACGTGGTGTTGCGAGACCAGCTGGTGTGCGCGCGTTCCTGCGCTGTAGCTGACACCTCCCAGAGTCGGGCATGGCGCGCGGAACGCTGAGCCGCTGCTGTGGCTGGCTGCCCGCGCCGGGATGACGCTGCCGTGTGCTGCCGACAGTCACCGGGCCGCTGTCAGAGTCCCAGATAGCGTACGTGTGCAAGCAGACCCTGTACGGGCTCTCCTACCTGCACAGCATGAACAAGATGCACAGGGACATCAAGGTAGCACCTGGTCGCCGTCAGGGAGGACGTTCTAGTGTTGGCGACGTGAGCTTTGGTATAATGCTATGAGAACAGTCCGGCCGGCCCACATGGTAGCGGTCTCCTTTCGGAGTTACGAGGTCCGCTGCAATCGGCGCATATGCATGTCAGAGGTTGGACCTTATAACCCGTATCTAGCGGTACTTGAGTAGGTGTTTGTTCATGTGAAGATAATAATGGCTCGTCATACTTTTGATTACTCTGTTTGATAGTAATTGGCGGATGCGTGATAGGTCTCACATACGCTGCTATCACAAAGCCTCTGTCTCGTGGTGTCTCCGACCCCTCCCGCCGCCCGCAGCGTCAGTCAGCCTCTCGCTCTCTTGTTGTCCCCCACCCCTTCCTACCGCCCGCCCGTCACCGCGCTGACCGGGCCGGCAGGGCGCCAACATCCTGCTGACGGAGGCGGGCGAGGTGAAGCTGGCCGATTTCGGCGTGTCGGCGCAGATCACGGCCACGCTCGGCAAGCGGCAGTCGTTCATCGGCACCCCGTACTGGATGGCGCCAGAGGTGCGCGCTAGCCGGCCGGCTCACCTGGCCGCAGGGACACGCCGGGTCTGACCCTCGCTGCCGTCGTCGCGATGTGCTCATCAGTGCTGGAGCAGGGGACGCGTGCCTGTGGGAATGTTGGTGATGCTTTGTGTCTTTTCAGTAGTCATTTGTGCGTCTTTTCATTAGTCTGCGGGTGATGCAGTGTTAGTGTAGAAGCAGAATGGTCGTAGCAGTTGGTGCGCCCTAAGACGCCCTTAATGCAGAATATCCCGATTATTTGAATATGAGGTGTAAGCTTTCATTATGGCAAATTACGCCCTGTTGCAAAATGTTGCGAGGTGTTGTTAACGGAAGCGCGTCACGAACCTTCGCGTGACAGTTTCACCGCTCCCCGACAGGTGGCAGCAGTGGAGCGCAAGGGCGGCTACAACCAGCAGTGCGACGTATGGGCGGTGGGCATCACGGCCATCGAGCTGGCCGAGCTACAGCCGCCCATGTTCGACCTGCACCCGATGCGTGCCCTGTTCCTCATGTCCAAGTCGGGCTTCAAGCCGCCCACGCTCAAGGACAAGGTGCGCTGGTCGCCCAGCCTGCACGCCTTCGTCAAGGTGGCGCTCACCAAGAACCCCAAGAAGCGACCCACCGCCGACCGGCTGCTGGAGGTGGGTCGGTCGCGCGGAGACGACGTGCGCTGGGGCGGCGCGGAACGCCGGTGGTGCCGGCTGGAAACGGGCGCCGGCCGATCGAAAGCGCTGGGAACATTAGGTGGGAAATGAATTATGTGTGAAGCATTTTGACGCTTGTGCGTCTTGTTGCTGGTTACCACGCATGAACGGCATTGCAGCTGCCAATTTTTCAGATTTTGAAAATAAGTTACGGGCAGCAGCACACATACTGAGTATGTCGACGTGCGGCTTCTGTTCCAAGTGGTCGATGACTAGGCGCACGCATCATGTCGTTAACAACTGGAACCCTCGTTTGTCGCAGCAAACTGAGCAGCTGCGAGTGTCGCATGCCAGTTTTGATCGGAAACTGCTCCGTAGCCCGGCGTTGCTCCTACCTGAAATGCAGCAGCACCTGTCCGAGACACATCGACTGACCTGATTACAGCACCCGCTGCTTCTGGGACACCACCTGCACAAGCGACTCATGTGGGAGCTGCTGGACAAAGTGCGGAACCCCACGGGCGCTTTCCAGGAGTTGGAGCCCGACGAGGAGGGGGTAAGGGCGCACGGCCGACGCACCCGACGCCCCCCGGCTAACGTGTCACAACGTGCGTTACGTGCTAACGTGTGTACGCTGGCCAGACCATGTCATGTATCCAAGCCACGTGTGAACCCACGCGCCTCCCATCCGCCGTCTCTAAGCTGCTTCTCCGAGTATAGCCTGCCATTACCACAGCATTGTGGCCGTTTGCGTCGTGCAGGACTCCCTGACGATCTGATGTGACGTTAAAGGCCAGGGACTAGGTTTTTTAACCCGTCTAACAAGCCCGGACACTTCCTCTTGGCTCTCCGTCGGCGCGTGTGTTTTGTGAACCGTCTGATGGTGAGCGTCGCTGTTGTGTTTAAGCGTTTGTGCTGTCAGCGCAGGTTCTCAGGTCCGCCATCGCGGCGTAATAATCAGGTCATTGCGTCGTGGTGGAGTGAGCTGGTGCAATCTCCCCAATGACGAGGCGATTGTGCTATGTGTGCAGATGACCTGTAATTCAAAGGCTTTTGTCAGAATTATGATTTTCTCCTCGTCCTAGTTATCGACGGAAACATTGGGACAGTTTTGGTATTTTGCGCTTCTTACGCTTAATTTTTTTTTACAAGGGCGCATGGTTGCCAGGTCGTTAACCTGGTACAAATTTTGTGTGTAGTTTTGAAACATTTTTACATATATTTTAGCAAGCCCGTATAGATATTCTAGCAAGATTGTATGCTTCTGAATAATTGAAAGTTTGCTTCTGTACTCGGATATTCGTCAGGCCTGAATGCTGCATGAAACACCGGGATCGTCTGAACCCACTCCATGCGTCCCGCCTTCTCCGGCGCTGGTCCGTGCCGGTTGTGTTCTGGCCGGTCTTGCCGCGCTTACGTCTTATGCCCCGGTTGCAGGCGGTGGTGAACGTGCCGCAGAGGATCGCCTCGCGCCAGCCGACCGGGCCGCGCCGCCGCTCCCGCTCACAAGTGCGATGTGAGTCGACCGTCCCCCACTCAGGAGGGCTCGTGCAGGGCGCGGACCGGGGGTCGCACGCGACTGTCGTCCACTCAGGAGGGCTCGTACAGGGCGCGGACCGGGGGCCACATGCGACTGTCGTCCACTCACGAGGGCACGTACAGAGCGCGGACTGGGGGTCGTACGTGACTGTCGTCCACTCAGGAGAGCTCGTACAGAGCGCGGACCGGGGGCCACATGCGACTGTCGCCCACTCAGGAGGGCTCGTACAGAGCGCGGACCGGGGGCCACATGCGACTATCGCCCGCTTAGGAGGGCACGTACAGAGCGCGGACCGGGGGCCACATGCGACTGTCGTCCACTCACGAGGGCACGTACAGAGCGCGGACCGGGGGCCACATGCGACTGTCGCCCGCTTAGGAGGGCACGTACAGAGCGCGGACCGGGGGCCACATGCGACTGTCGTCCACTCACGAGGGCACGTACAGAGCGCGGACCGGGGGCCACATGCGACTGTCGTCCACTCAGGAGGGCTCGTACAGAGCGCGGACCGGGGGCCACATGCGACTGTCGCCCGCCCAGGAGGGCGCGTGCAGAGCGCGGACCGGGGGCCACATGTGACTGTCGTCCACTCAGGAGGGCTCGTACAGAGTGCGGACCGGGGGCCACACGCGACTGTCGCCCACTCAGGAGGGCACGTGCAGAGCGCGGACCGGGGGTCGCACGCGACTGTCGTCCACTCAGGAGGGCTCGTACAGAGCGCGGACCGGGGGTGGTACGTGACTGTCGTCCACTCAGGAGGGCTCGTGCAGAGCGCGGACTGGGGGTCGTACGTGACTGTCGTCCACTCAGGAGGGCTCGTACAGAGCGCGGACTGGGGGCCACATGCGACTATCGCCCACTCAGGAGGGCACGTACAGAGCGCGGACCGGGGGCCACATGCGACTGTCGTCCACCCAGGAGGACACGTGCAGAGCGCGAACCGGGGGCCACATGCGACTGTCGCCCACTCAGGAGGGCACGTACAGAGCGCGGACCGGGGGCCGTATGCGACTGTCGTCCAGGTTCAGCTGCTGTTACACACAGACATAAAGGCGTTTGTGCGCCATTTTCCATCGCGCCGTGATATGTTAGGAATAAGGCGAACATCATCACGAAGTTCGTTCTTCGCTTATGATTTGTGTGTGTCGCGTGTCACATTTCCCTAGGACGTTCACACAAGATTCCTTAAAGGGGAGGTGGTTCGTGATGTTCGGGCGCGCGGGTGCAGGGTGTGGCTAACCAGGTGATCGCACCGCCGGGTGGTCACTAACCGCCGGCGGCGCTTCAGTGCGGTCTTTTGACCGGCCAGCCAGTCCGCTTCTCCGAGACGGGTCTCCATTGTCGCCCCAGCGGAATCGGATGGCAGATGTGAGTTCTCACGGTCGATCACAGATGGCGGTATGTGTTTATTCTTGTCTATTCGTGTCTGTTCTTTGGGTGCTATCTTCAGTGCCCCTGGCCAACCGGCCATATGCAGATTTGTTGTGAAGCAAAGCAAATGCTGCTCATGTTTCAACTAATAGTGGTTACGAGTACATAACAAGAATATCATGCTCATTTTATCAGAGTGGTGAATGCACAGAACCGTGGACACCCGAAACTCGGCCATACCGCGCGGCATTCCTCTACACTTATTATCGACCCTTCTGTTGTTCTAACCTCTGCGCTTCCGTGCAGGACGCCGCCGCGGTCGGGGTCAAGCCAGACGATATGGTGTTCCACTGGAGTGCGGTGTACGCGGGGGCGGACGCCGACAAGTGAGCTGTCTCCCCGCCGGGGCGCCTGGGGTGCGGGCTGCATGAGCTACCGGCTGCGGGCGTCGCGTGTGTCGGGTACAGCGGCAAGCGGATGCAGCGCTCGGGCTGGTGCTGGTGCTTGGGCGCGGTGCTGGGTGCATTATTTGTCTGGAGGTGGACTTGGAGGGTGCCGCGGCCTTCGAGTCACTGCCCGGGCGTGCTGTCCAATGGTATATCTGGCTCCATATTTTCCACGATCGATTTGTAAGTAGCGTTAAGTTTTCTGGGCATGGAGTATCCGATAATCTAATTGACCAGCTTGAAGCATGATTCTTGGTAAGATTTTCTTGATTTATCTTTCTCAGGGGAACACGTAAGCGCTAGACTGTAGTCCGCAAGTCATAGATGGTTATACATTCGGCATGTCTTATCATCTGATGAGCCTAAAATGACGCGCATTGCTCGGAATGTTTCATGGTTAGCATCTGTTTCGTGGCACGATTAAATCCGGGTATGATTCGCATACGATAAGTAGTCGCATATCTCTCCGTGTAAAAAGCGCTTGTTTAACATGCACGTTCCTCCACAGAACCAGGTCCACCCATCAAACGCTCGATTTCAATCAGTGCACCAATCACAGTCCAGATAGTACGCTGACTCGAAGCCACCCGGCGGGCGGACCGCAAAAAACCCGCGGCCCTCTGTCTGGCGCCGAGATACTTAAGCTCTCGTTGCAGTACGTAATACCAGTGGTTTGTTACTAACCCCCCCATGCTGTGCGGTGGCGCCTACTCAGTGACTAGTAATCCTGCACTTGCGTAATTTCAAACGGCGAAGTAAACGAAACAGGAAGGAGCGGAAACGAAAGCTGAAACGTTTTCCAATAACACATAGGACGCTTGTTGCGTCAGCTGTTCAAATGGTTTCCTGGGGGCTGTTGAACACTCTCCCATGAGGACACAGGAGATTTGGTCCCGTCCACTCATAGCCAGACTGAAAGCTCCTGTTGGCTGTTTCTGAAATCGTTCTCCAACAACAGGCTGAAGGTTTGTCAGCTCTCAGTGTGACACTTGAGGGGCTTCTTATATATCGAGTTTCGCGACATTTTCTCAACGATTAGGGCAGAAGCGTCAGATGTGGTTATCAACCCGCAATTTGATAACCACATACGACGCACTCCGCTACCTGACTCACGCGGATTTCTATCACGTCAACCTTAGTGTGCTGAACAGACACAACTATCAGTGCCGGATTAGTTATCACCGGTCGCCCCGCGCCGCAGTTTCGTTTGCTATGCGGGATCCGTCGAAACGCCTTACGATAGCGTCACTTGAAATATTTTCCATCGCATTGGTGAGCATTGTTATATGGTTCAGGGGATGGGAGTTCGGAGTTCCTGACTAGGCGCCGTCCGGACTTTACTAACCACAAGGTTGCCAAAGAAACTTATTTATTTAAAGTGCGTCGTTCCAATGCGGTCAGCTATGCGCATTGTAGTTCAAGATTGCGTTGATTGTGATTGCTGCGCTGTGTTGCGGGGAATATCAATTGGCAACTCTCAAGTTTTTATAATGAGTATAGTTCGTAGTCCCTGCCCTTCGGCTGCACTTATTTCTCAGACACCATCCAGTTTTAGCCGCGGTATGTATGGGACACAAATGTGTGGGATCTTTTTATGCATCGGCTCACACACTGGGCGTTGATGGCAATGATTGGCTGCGCACAGAATGGCTGTAATCAGATCAGGGGTAGGTAATGACTTGGTCACCAGACTGATGTTTGGTTCGCAACTGGCAGGAAGCAAGGCGTTTTGAAGACGCGCTTGCGTTTATGAAGAGAACGATAACCAAGAGTTTCATGATATATTAGAGAAGGCCAAAAGCAGGACAAACGCTTCATGTCTTCGTCAGTCAGTTCTTCAGACTAACACTTTTTCATGTTGACGAAAGCTAGAAGCGGAGTATGTTTCTGTTTTTTTTCATGGCATTCCGTGTACCCTAGAATAAGGATACCTTTTAAACATAGAAGCCCTTCACCAACGAGTAGCATTATAGATCAAGCTTTTTACGTCCGGTCTTATTGCCAAGAATCTTTGATTGAACCATATCCGTCTGCTCGAAGGCAGCGGCGCATGAACGATAAAGATCGCATGAGTTGAACAAAAGGTAGGCGAAGAACTTACAGGACGAAAATGAAATGTGGTCTGAATTGTGCAGCTGTAGTATTCTATGTAGACACGGCAATTGAAATGCGTTGTCCATTTCGCTCGGTTTCGTTCCTGGCCCTGACCACGGTCTGGCCGTATATTGCGCAAGGGAAATGGATGCCGCTGCGGAAGATGGACGGTGATAAAGAATGTTTGCTGGTTTGTGAGACGCTTGTACCGTGTTAAACTGCGCGATGGAGACTTGAAAGTGGAATGTGCGTCCTGTTGTTGGCCCTTTTTAATGTTGCATGGGATTTTGGTAATTGCTCTTTCATAATCCCTAACTGGAGCCTCAGCTTAGCACTCGATCAAATTAAGCACGCTTGCACTTGCACGCACGTTTCTGACGGCTTCACGTTCGAGCCATGTCGCTAGCTCATTTTCGGGCCACGCTCCCGTTCTCCGACCCCGCCAGTCGTCCGCACCGGTGGCACGCAGACTGGCCGCACGAAACCCGAGCACTGCCGCCGCGGCGCGCGTGCTGTGCGGCAGTGGTCATGCTGCTGTGGCAGGCACTGCCGGCCCGCTCCGGACGCTGGTCGGGTCTGTTCGGACCCCGGCGGACTGGGGGTCAGTGGGGGCCAGTCTTGCGGCCTGGTGGGGGCACCAGGCTGGAGGCGGTTACCTCACGCCAAGGGAGGCGTTGCGGCCGCCCGCCTTGCGCGCCATTCGTGTGTAATCTGTGAGCTTTTGGTGTACTACTGAGTTAATCCAGTCTGTTGACGGGTGGGGGCTCGTACCCTTGATTCGAGCAGCGGGCCTTTTTAATTGAGAACAAAGTGGGATAAGACAGGCTGTTGTTCTAGTTTTGTATTTTGATTCGCCAAGATTACGTGTCATATTTACGCAAAGCTATAGCTTGCAACCGTTGCATGCATCATTCGTGCAAAACGCGATGGAGATTACTGAGACTGTTTGCGACTTGGCGGATTCTCACGGTAATTAGTCAACTTCTTACAACACACGCATTTCATATGTTTATCTGAAATCCGGAATGTGGCATGTTTTGTCATCACTTAGTCTTTTCAATAAGTTTTCCCCACTGGGCCTAAGGTAAAGGCTGCCGTTACGCTCAGTATACAAGGAAGTGTACGAAAATGAATGGATGTGGGCCAGTGGAGTAAAGCCATACAGTTGTCTAAGGCAACTTATGCACCGAGCTGTTTCTGATGTTTTATGTAGTGTGTGCAAGGCGCAAGGTACTGTTTTATTGCTTACCGCCTGGCTTCTCCGGTACTTAGTTCGTTGAATTCCATGAAAATGCCTTCTTCTGTCGGCAGGAGTTTGTTGCAATACATAGACGACGAGTTGCAAACAAGGTAATCTTTTTGTTTCGTTACACGCACTGACACTTGTAAAGCATGGTTTTGGTTGGTTGCGGGCTTGTCGGATTTGGGCGTTTTTGGTGCATTATGTCGTGTTGCCTCGTAGCGCTTCTGCATTTGTCCCCACATTTCACCCATTTTGTCCTGCAAGGAGCTCGTAAGAATTCCTCTCCGCTGTTGCAGCGCCGCTTGGCTGCTTCCGTCCGTATATGAATAATCGATTAAACTGTGATCGCATAATCAATTTTATGGCTCACCTGCTTGCGATGTAGCACACAATTCAGGCGCATGGAAAGTGCATATATCTTTTGGCAATTGTTCTCGTTTGAAGCGTCCGCAAGCGTCCTGTTTCATTGACCCTCATCTTCCCCTCATCCCGACATTAGTACCCGTTTTATGTGACCCGACCGCAATCTCGCCAAACTGGCTGCGATTTGCATGGAGTATAAAAATGCGGACAACTGCTTGTGTGCATTTGTGTTCTCTAACAGTGAATCTGGGCTGCTCTAGAGGCCACACGGCGCGTCTTGCCGAGCTAAGTCTGGACCCGGACGCCTCAAAAGGGTGAGTGTCCACAGCACGACCGCTGCCTCAGGCGCCCGGGGGCGCCAAAGCTGTGTCCAACGTCGATGAGCTGGCTGTCCCGTGCTGTGTGCTGGGTCTAGTTTCTTACGACGTGCATTACAAAGCCATTTTGGACTTTGACATAAGACACTGTGGTTCTGCACCATCTCAACTTCCCCAGTCGCAGGTGTGGCAGCCAGGTGGCAGATGTCACGCGACCTGAGATGTTGGGTCATGTCCTCCCACAAATAGCTGTGTTTGTAAATGGTCGGTTGACGTCAAAGGGTCTCGTAACATTTTCCAGTGTGGTAGACTGGCTTAGCGTAGTCCAAGGCTGTAGACACGTAGCTGTGCGGGTATGACGTTCTTGTTACACTCTCCGGTATGAGTTTACGCTCAGATGCAGGTGACGCTTTCTGATGTACGCTCGTCCTGCTTTGAGGAAGTCAGGAGTGAGGCAAAACGTTTACAACCACCTTGTCCTCATTTGTCATGTTGTGCACTGGACACCACCGACTAACACATACCTTAGCAGCACACGTGCGTCATTTGGCGCCTCAACCACTGTATTTCAATCGCATTTAATTAGGCACAGCATGGTAGCTCTTTGTTTTTGTCTGAGTAGCATGAGATACAGTTTTGAAACTACGTTACGCCTCATTATTTCAATTATTGTATTTTACGTACAACAGCTATTGCCATGTAAAGTGTTGCCATGCCACTGAGACCTCTCGCTTCGGTTACAGCAGGGCAAGCCGAAAACCGGCTGTGGAAAGGCTCGAACGCACGAACTCGCGGTCGGAAGCCAGCCGTTGTTTGGCTGCGATTGGTGTTGGCAACTACACCCGTACAGCAGCGTGAACCGCCGTATCCTGACCTTGACCCACTTTCAGAGGCACGCTGACGCCCAGCACCTCTGTCCCGGAGGAGGTGTCGGCAGGCAGCCACCAGGACGGGGTCAAGGAGCGATCACCAGGTCAGCGACCTCACCCGACCCCAAACGCTGTCGGTCAGACGCTGGGCGAGGCCGTGGATCGGGTGGCAGCATGGACAAGATTGGGCCATGTTGTCATGCCTGGCTGGACTGCGGTGTTTGATGCGCCTTGTGGATGTTCCGAGCGGTTTGCGTAGTTGACTGCGACTCCATTGCGAACCACTCGAATGCGGCATCATTTGAGAGCACATTACGTATTGCCCATGCCCAACTATGTAATGGTGGTATATTGGATCCTTTTTATAGCAATGCCGCCATATTTATTATTGCAGCGTATTATTTTATATTGGTCTGCCGGTTTCGGGGATCAACTTAGATTTTATGGACAAACGTACAATCCCTTCAAGGAAGGGTGGTCGCGTTCACCCTGAATCGAATTTTCCAGACTATCTCATTCAAACTAAACGGATAATTTCTCGTCCAGCGTTTTAGGTAGGCAAGGCTGCAGAACGAAATCATTGGACGCGACCTATTCTTGCCACGTGGACTGCATTCGGTCCGATAGCTGCTGTCTTTTCCAAACAACGCGATCGTTCGGGGGTCGATCACGGCGCCGCCGGACTTTGCTTGTGTACTACAGGTCCGGCATATTCACCACTAGTTGGCGATGGGGCTGTTGCCCCGAAACTCGTTTTTAGATGACCAATAAATTACCCAAGCATCCAAACAAACCAGGATTCATGTGAGACACTTTGTAGGACAGGCGGCTCGCATGGTGCTCGCTTGCCCTAATTAAGGTCCAGTGGCTAAGCCAGAGACTGGATCGACCGTCAGTGTCGGAACAATGTTAGATCAAATTCGGTATGCTGTATATATATATATATATATATATATATATATATATATATATATATATATATATATATATATATATTTCGGCCGTGCGCATCCCACTTGTAAGGCATCCCGACTTCCATTTAACAGCTCAACACCATCCCGAGCTGCTACGCACGTCCGTAGGCAGCGGGTGCAGCGCACGGGAAACTGTGCACCGACCGGGAAAGCTACGCCGTTTCCGCGTGTGGTGTGCTGTGGCGGCCAGGCAGCTGCTTGTTGTCGGCGGGCCTGACCGACAACGGCGCTCGCGTGCGTGTGTCTGCTCCAGGGCCTGATTCGACCCTGCGGCGACGCCACAGTACGGCCGGCGAGGACGAGCTGGCGGAACAGGCGGCCGTGCTGTCCCCGGGGCACCGGGGCAGGTCACTGTCGGACGGGGAGACCATCAGCTCAGGTCAGTCACTGTCAGACAGATGGACCAGCGGCTCAGGTTTGTCGCTGTCGGATGGGGAGACTATCAGCTCAGGTCAGTCACTGTCAGGCAGATAAACTAGTGGCTCAGGTTTGTCACTGTCGGACGGGGAGACTATCAGCTCAGGTCAGTCACTGTTAGACGGATAGACCAGCGGCTTAGAGTTGTCACTGTCGGGCCGGGAGACCATCAGCTCAGGTCAGTCACTGTTAGACGGATAGACCAGCGGCTTAGAGTTGTCACTGTCGGGCGGGGAGACCATCAGCTCAGGTTAGTCACTGTCAGGCAGATAGACCAGAGGCTCAGGTTTGTCACTGTCGGATGGGGAGACCATCAGCTCAGGCCAGCCACTCTCACAGCCCGGAGTGGTTCCCGCAACATCTCTGTGCGGTGGCAGCTTAGCCAGGCGCCAGCGTGTTGCGGTCATATCGATCCCCTGTTTAATACCAGCCTGACATCAGTCGCTGCTGTCGTTGCCGACAATGCCGTCGCCGCTGTCGGTGGTGACGCAGTCTCTGCCGTTGACCGCCGTGCCGACGCCGCCGCTGACGACGTCGGCGCCGGCCTGTCGACAGCGGGCGCCGCCGCCTCGTCCGATGACGTGCTGCCAGTGCCGCCACCGCGGCGGCGCGAGCGGTTCCGCAAGGCCACGCAGCCGCGGCCCGTCTCCTACGGCCTGCCACCCACACCCAAAGTGCACATGGGTGCCTGCTTCTCCAAGGTACACATTGCCACCCTGTCAGCGAGGCGCAGGACTATGCGCCGGTAGTATGTAGAGCGCTTCGTAGCTTAGGCGAGCTTAAGGTGTGTGAGTTGTCGGGACGTGTGCAGCATGAGTCGAACAGTGCCTAGCAACTCAGCGGCAACGTATCCGAAGGCGGTGATTTCCATGGCAACTCAGCTGCGCTTGGGTGCTTGCAATTCCAATGTACCGAGCGGCCCAAACTATGGTTTACGTTGATGCTAAAAGTAGTTGCGTTAGTTTCTTTCCGCGTGTTCCTTGTCCCGTGGGAAGTAGCGTACCGTTTTGGATTTGGCCGCCTAACTGCATCTCTTGGATACATGTCCAGAATGCATCTCCTATCATGATAGCGGCGCAGTAATGTCGGAATAATCTAACCGCTTCGTAGCCTCCTGATCTTGCTGGCACTGACCAAGTATTGGGTGTGCAGGCGTCCCCGGCGCCGCTCCTCAGCCGCGGACGCCGTGCCTGAGGTCCGACCTCGCCTCCGCCGCCAGGTTTTCAACGGCTGTCCGCTGCGCATCACGTGCACGGCCACGTGGATCCACCCGCTGACACGTGACCAGCACGTGCTGGTGGGCGCCGCCGAGGGCGTGTACACACTCAACCTCAACCAGCTGCACGAGGCTACCATGGAGCAGCTGTTCAACCGGCGCACCACCTGGATGGTGGTGGTCAAGGACGTGCTGATGACCGTGTCGGGTGGGTGTCGGCCGGGTGGCGACGCGGTGCGGGTGGGCCGTGGCCACGCGGAGTTCATGCGGCCGTACCGTAGTTCGTCGTTGTTGTGTTTGTGGTCCGGGTGTGCTCTTTGAGACACCGGGCAGATTTTTCAACGGCTGGACTGGATCGGAGTGTTTGAAAGCTGTGCTAACTTTACGGGAGCTCGTTCTTTCCAGCTAATGTGAAGTGTAAATTCGTAACTCGTGTAAATTCGGGTAAAGTCTTATGCGCATTACGCTCAGCACCAAGTCCTTTTGTGCCATCGTTTCAGCAGGTCGTTGCTGACCTCATCGTGAGTCATGGATTCTCGCATTTATTCATCGTTCACCGTTCACCATACGCATTCACCATTATTCCCAATTCGTTATCACCTTGAGATAAAGCTATGCGGGATATGTACACTGTTAAACGCCAAACAACGTCAGGCCCTCACGCGGACGGACCCAGCATCTCACGACGGCTGGGGAGGTGACCGGCGGAAACATTCTGTGGACAAAAGCGGTTGATAGCGACAATGGTCCGAATAAGTGATCCGTATGGAGTTATGCTGTCGGCGTTCATCGATTACTGGTGCGTTTCTTCACCGGTAAGCGGGTAAGTTACCTTGTGCTGTGGTCGCAGGTCTGAAGAACCCCAGCCTGTATCGGCACGACCTGCTTGCCCTTCACTCCCGCCAGTTCAACCGGTTCTCGCTGAAGGTCAATAAGATACCCGAGAAGCTGGTGCCGCGGAAGTTCGCCATGACCACCAAGGTAAGCTTTCTCTGTAAATGGACGTTCTCTGTTTCGTGCTGGTCTATCCCACAACGCCTTGTGATCTGTCTGCTGAAAATAGCGGACCTTCAGTATTCCAGACAGCAGGTGCTGCTGGTCGGAGGAGAATGCAAGTGATCTCTGAGGTGTAGGTGATGAAATCCCGCCAATATTTTCATGACTTTATCAGAGCTTCGCATTTTATGGAAATTCCGTGCATCTTGGAGTGCCGCATGCTCATGATAAAGCCCAGTCACTCCTCGGTGTCATCCAATCAATGCTCGGTAATCACTCCAATGTCACTCCAACCACTGTCGCCCGCATAGTGAAGTTGAGATATTTTCAACATCACAACTCATGATGCTGAACAAAAATGAAGCTGAATGTGCTCCTTGCCTACGCCAATTGTAAGGTTGTCCCACGGTGTTTAATGCGCCGGTGCCTTGGGTTATATCCTTGTTAGCGGGGCTTTGAGTGCGCCTGTATGTAGCAGGGTCATTTGACACCCAGGTCGGCGGTTTGACGCGCTCTGTTGCGGCTGCTGCGCGGTCCGCATCGTCTTCCCGCAAGCTCCGACAAAGCGGTTAGCTCACGCACCATGCCTCTATCGCCACCCTGTCCTGGCTCGCCCCCGCGGAGCCCGTGGTTGACCCCGTGGTTGACCCCGTGGTTGACCCCCGTCAGGTGCCCGACACCAAGGGCTGCGAGCGCTGCTGTGTGGGGCGCAACCCCTACAACGGCTACAAGTACCTGTGCGGCGCGGTGCCCGCCGGCATCTTCCTCATGCAGTGGTACGAACCGCTCAACAAATTCATGCACCTCAAGGTGAGGCGGCCGCCGTGCTGTCGTCGGGGTGTGGCGAAGGTCCCGAGGGCAAAGCCAGCGTGCTGTTATTGAGCTCGGTTCATCTGGGGATTAAGGCTGCAGAGTGTCGAACCTTAAGTTTTTGGATGATAACTTAGACTTTTTGCGGATGATTTTGGACCAATGTTTGCGACCCTTTTCTTAATTTTGGTTCCCTGCTCATGTATAAGTGTAATGAATAAATATGATATATAAATAGCATATAAATATAATAATAAATTATATAATATATTATATATTTATTAAATTATTCGGCTAATTTCAGTTGACTTCGGGGCCTTGGCGAAGCTATTTCAGTTTCCTTGAATTTCACTTGTGTGGTGATTTTTAACGCACTGCTGAGGGGTGTATTCGTCGATGCAAAAGAGGGCAACCATTGCGAGCTCAAGATCATCGCGGTCGACTTGCAAGTGTCGGTGACGTCACACGCCGGCTGCCCGTCCCCGTCACCGGCCCGGGTCGGCCCTCGTCGTGACCCGGCGTGTCCGCCGCCGCAGCTGCACGAGTGTTGCGTGCCCAGCCAGCTGTCCGTGTTCGAGATGGTGATCAGCCCGGACACCGAGTACCCGCTCATCTGCGTGGACGTCCGGCGCGGCGCGGAGCCAGACGCCCTGAAGCTGGACGTCATCAACCTGGTGAGTGGCTCGCGCCCGCCTCTGGTCGCGCTTTCGCCCGGCCGCGTGAGAGGGAGCGTGGCAGCGACGCCGCGTCTGATGTGTTTCACACAGCGTCTGGAGCAGGTAGCCGTTCTCCATGCGCATTATTTCTTTGCCTTTCCGAACATGAAAATTGCTAGCAGCTGCAGGCTGAGCTGTGCAGAGCGGTACATCAGGGAACGACGACATCTTCCGCACGGCATAAGCAGACAAGACCTCCCTGAATGACTCGCGCTGTCCTCCAACTGTTGCTGAGGCGTCAGGCCCGTCGCCACCCGCCCCGTCGCCGCCACCGCTGTGTCGCCACGCAGGACGCGCGCGTGAGCGTGGACGTGACGTGCGGCCGTCGTGCGCGCCGCCAGAACACGACCACGTCCTGGTTCCTGCACCGTGACGAGGACGGCGGCGCCGAGGACGAGCTCGGCACGCTGCGGCCCAGCGAGGCCCGTCTGCCCGTGCAGGCCGTCAGCCAGCTGGACAAGGACGCCTTGCTCGTGGCGTATGAGAACGTCGTCAAGGTGCGACCGAGCGCCGCTGGTCGGCGCGGTGTTTGTGCTGGTGCATGCTTGGATATGTGTCAGTGAGCTTGTAAGTTGTAAAAGGTCTAGTTGTGTAGCGTTTAAGCCGGATGGGAAAATTATGATATAGCTTATGTCATTTTTTGGCTTTATATCAAACTTCCTTGTAATTTTAAACGTTTGGTATGCTTTTCGCGTGCCATGTGTATGTGCAATATAAGCAAATCGCTTAAGTAGACTGTATTAGCCGACATTGACGTACTAACAATATTTTTCTCCTTTCCTGTGTGTTTGAAAAGGTCGGTGCATTTTGAGCATTCGCCTTAACTTCCCGTGACGTTTGGTCTTGCTTTTTCAGATAGTTGATCTGGACGGAAGACCAAAGAGTGCGAGAGGGCAGGTGTCGGAGCTAATTTTTGATTTTGTCGTAGACAGTGTTGGTGAGTTGATGTATTTATGTCACCCCTGGCGGCAGTGTGACGTCACAACAACACACATCTACGTTCAAGTCAATACGGTCATGGTGTCACCAGCTCCCCGTTCAAAAGAGTCTGTTCATTTCATAAGCTCAGTAATAGTGTCGTACTCAGGACTATATGCTTACTGGCACGCACTGCTGTCCCTCTTCATTTCTAATTGGTGTGGCTGCTTGGAGGAGCGTTTCTCCAAATGTAGTTGTGACATTGAGAATCCTCGTTATCCCTACACAATTTTTGAGTGGCAGGTGGAGGTAGACCGTTGCAGAAATGTTCAAACTCCCCGAAACAGCCGAAGCCTGGCGTGCCGTCGGGACACGTTTCAGTGCGCCGCGGTACGGAGCCTTGACATTTCAGCCGACACCGAAATAGCTCCTGTAAACGAACCGCCTCGGTAGCCGGTCGGGCCGAGGCCTGCTTGGGATGCGACATCCGGAGCGCTGCGGTCCCTAATTAGCAGCCGCGTCGCAGTGTGGCTCGGGATGATCCAGTAGACCGATGCCGCGAGAGTGCGGGCACCGATATCATGCATGACAAAGTACGGAGAGCTGCCTGATATTTTCAGAACAAAGAAAGTCAAGGAATACAGAATTAGTTCGCGTGCCCCGCTGATTATGGATTAAGCACGTTCTGGCATAACCTTCTGCAATGTGGATATACGGAGCGCGTTCCTTGAGGCCCGTTCATACCATCACCTTCTACCATGTGGGGATATACGGAGCGCGTTCCTTAAGATTGCTCGCAGTTTCGAAGTCGGAGCATCATACAGCGGGCCTACCGCGACCGGCGCCCTTCACAACACCCAGAGCGGCCGCGGCCTGGCCTGACGACTTGACTTGACTTGACTTGACTTGACTTGACTTGACTTGACTTGACTTGACTTGACTTGACTTGACTTGACTTGACTTGACTTGACCTGGCCTGACCTGACTTGACCTAACCCCGTACCTCTGCGCAGTGTGTCTGCCGGACAGCGTGCTGGCGTTCCATCCGCACGGCATGCAGGGACGCAGCATGGTGACGAGCGAGGTCACCCAGGAGATCGCCGACCCCACGCGCGTCTTCCGGCTGCTCGGCAACGACAGGTCAGCGGCCGAGCCCTCCTGGGCGGCGCCGGGCTCCGGTCAAACGCGCCGCCCGACATTCTGCTGTTGGTCTGTCTCGCCGTCGCGGCCACGTCGCAGGCAATGCGTGTGGGGCGGACGACGTGGCGGCCTGGCCGACGCGCCGACGCTCGTCCCGTGGCCGCCTGCTCGCGGCGGCGTGTGCTGGCCGCGCGGCCGGGTTCCGTGACTCGATGACTCGGTGACTCGGTGTCCGTGACGCGGCGACGTACGTGCCGGCTCGCAGGGCGCTCGTGCTGTCCAGCCGGCCGACCGACGGCGCCGACAGGATGCTGACCAATTTCTACGTGCTGTCGGGTCACGAGGAGAGCGGCTGACGGGGGCGCCTCTCTCCCCCGCCCTCTGCAGTCGGCGGACGGCGGACGGTGCGCGTGTGTGTGCTCCCGTGCCGACAGCGTTTGTCGCTGTCCTGGTCGTTCCGCTCCGCTGACCGGCAGATAACGCGGGCGTCTGTCTAACGCGTGCGAGCGCATGCCGTTCCCACTAACTCGAGCGTGCCCTGGCGTACGCGGCCAGCGTGCGTTGCCGTGTGGTGTGAGCTCGGCAGAGACAGTCCGTGGCGATGCGTGCGGTCGGATGTGTTTAGCAGCGGGGCGTGACGTGGCGTAAATCGCCACTACCGTCACTAGCGGCCTGTTCCCGACACGTCGGCCCCGTGTGGTAGACGTGTCTGGCCCTGGCTTAGGCCGATCCCAGCTAACACTAGCACCGGGGCCAGCGCGGGCCCGGGGTCAGGACCTGGTCCAGACGCAGTCGTCCTGTCCCCGCCATCGGGATCAACCTTGACCCGGGGTCAGGGTTGACGTCCTAACTCATCGCGGCGTGAAGGTCACGGACACGCGGACCGGTGGCCCGTTAACCGCTCAGCTGTACGATTCGCGTACAGCCAGAAGCTGTCTGAGAGGTCGCTTCTGACACAGGCTTGTGCACGCAGCGTGCGCGTCACGTGTCGCGCCATGTGCTTAAAGTGACATCAGAAGTCGGCGCGCCCTAAAGCCCCAATCATCACCATCATCACGTCTCGTGCCAGTTGGCGGGCAGCAGACCAGGCAAGGGGGCATGCTGTAACCTCAGCGGTGGTGCGTCATGTCGTCGACCGGCCAGGCGCCGGCGTCAGGCAGCGGGAATGCCGATGGTCGGAGGCTGCCGACCGTTCGCCGCTGCCCGGGGGCAGCCGCGGCCGCCGGCGGGGGTCGACAGCTCGGCGATGCCTCGGCCGCCGGCTGACGTCGGGCCGTGTTGCAGGGTGATCACGGTGCAGAGCGTGCCGGCCAGCGACCCTGACCAGACGGCCACCGACAACAAGAACCTGTACATCCTGACCGGCCACGAGGCCATGTACTAGCGGCGCTGCTGGCCGCCGGCCCGCCCCGGGGGGCCGGCACGGCTCCGGCCAGCGGTGGCCTTCGTCCCCGCGCTGGGGCTGCGGTGCTGTCCGCGGCAGCAGGAGGCGGCGGTGCCGGCTGCTCCGACGCGGCTGAAGTGAGATTGTGATGACTGAACGGGTGGCAGGGGACTGCCAGGTGCATTGTTGTGGCGACGCTGTGCATTTTGTGTGCCTTCACACTGATCAGACAGAAAAGAAGTGCGCGCGTGTGGGCTGGAAGGACGAGACGCCTCCAGCCACGTGATTTTCGTGGCGCCGGTTTTTTTTAGAAGTGTGCCGGTCGTACGCGTCGCCTGTATTTGCTGCGCCTGCTTTGCTATTCCACACGAGACGTTCCATGTCGTTACCTGGATAGATGCGTTGGGCATCTTTTTTAGTGCGATGCTCGATTCAGTGTTACAGATAGTCAGGCAGAATGAGATTGGTAGTCCTCACACAGAGCGGTGATGCCGCTTCATATTGTTGGGGACGAACTGAACAGCTATTTCTATACGTGTTGTAGTTCGGTGAGACGTGCCAAAAACGATCCACAGCAGGGGGTGGGGCGTCCTCACCGCTACATCTGTGCAATACTAAATGTTTCAGAAGGGCTAGAGATTGCTGCTAAGCTTCCAGTCGGGCACCAACCCGGCAACAACGTTTTTCAATCAGCGCCCCGCCCCGCGTGCGTATTGAGGGATCAGCGCACTGCACCGTACGCCAACACGACGTCGGAGCGGGCGGCGCGAGCGAGGTCGTTCACTTGTACGGGTTACCGTCGCGTCGACTCGGCGCGAACAGCTCTGACCACCTTCCCCCGTGCCTCGCGCCGACCCGACGCCGATGCGTCGCTGCCCGCGGTGTTACAGCGGCCGCGTCTGGGCCAGAAGCGCCGGCTTTTTGCCGACGCTCGATAAGATTCCTGCAATCGCTCCGTTTGGCGCCGCCGCTGGAGGGCCGCGCCGCGCCCCAGACCCAGGCGCGTCGCCCGCGGCCGTGGGGCGCGGCGGCCCGCGGCGCTCGGGTCACCGCGCTGTCGTGCGCCGTGCCCGGTGCAGTGTCGTGACCTGCATGCCGTGTGATGGCGGCGCCGGTGTGCTCGTGCGCGCGTCCTTGACAGTGCGGGGCTCGCTCGCTTTGATCACGGCTGGTAAGCCGTGAGCCTTCAGCCGCCCGTGCGGAATATTCTGACAGGTTGGCGCTCGTGCGGGGAACTGGTTCAGCGGCAGAACTGAAATTGTTAACGCTTCTTTCATGGATGCAACGCCTTGAGTCGTGATGCCCATAAATTGCGAAATTCATCCAACGCGCTGGCAGCTGCACATCATCCCAGTTTGCCCAACTTGGTTGGTTGGTGGTTGGTTGGTTGATGGTTGGTTGGTGGTAGGTTGATGGGTTGTTGAACGTGGTGGATGGGAGGTGAGACACGTCCCGAGATCGGCGTCATTTTGGCGGAATCGTGAGTGTTACTGATAGTGAATTCCTGTCATCCTCCGCCTCAGTGAGTTTGCCTTCCCCCGCCCGCTCCCCCCACATGTATTTTCTAGATTGCATCAGTCGCGTTGCGGCACCAAATAGTTTGGTGCAACATTGTAGATGTGTCACACTGCATCACTGCTGCGTGGAAATCCCGCATGCCCGTACACCAGCCCGCGTTTCGCAGCTTGAAACGCACGACATACGCAGTTTCGTGCACATCGCCGGAACATTACCAGCCCTCGATCACCCCGAAACTTCAACAGCACGAAAATGGCAGCTTGCAACTCGCATTTTGTGTGCCCACCCCCTTCCTAACCTCCCGCGTCCACCCCGCCCTGACCCTCCGCGATCGCGTGGTCGATCGTTCAGACGGCCGCGCCGCCCCTCGCCCCCAAGTCCGGAGCCGTGTCCGTCCACTGCCAGCGCTGGCGAGCAGGATCACCTCGTCGGCCGGCGCCGGCGCGCGCCGCGCTCTTGTGATATGACATGGCATGTGATGGACGAGTGACCTAACAATACAAAGCGCGTCTGATGACCGGGCCGTCCCGTGTGCTTCCGCCCGCGCCGCTGGGGGCTCCAGAGCGGGCGTGGCCCACTGTCTCGTGTGCTCCCGCCGCGGCCGGCGACGCTGCTGTGGGCTCGAGAGAGCAGGCGAGGCCCACCCGGCTCGGCGGCGGGGCAGGCGCGTCGTTCTGCCTCGCCGACGTCAGGCACAGACCAAGGTTAGCGGCTCGAGCGCGCCCGCCCGCCAGCCGCGAGCGGTAACGCGGGCGACGCCGTCCGCTCTCCGAGCGTGTCATCGACAGGCACACGCATCCCCGCTGTGTTCTACTCGAAACCACTATAAATCCAGCTGTGCTCTGCTGCGGTGTTCGCCGGTGTTCCACTTCGTAGCTGCCGGGTGTTATCGGGATCCGTTATCTACGGTTTTGGGATCACATTCTGACGGACAGATCACTGAGAACGGTCCAGTTCAGAAACAAATGTATGCAAACATTGTGTTTCTACGAGATCGCTTGTGTCGTTCGCCGCCACGGCTTGTTTCTGACATGTCCCAATCACCATATGACTCGACTGTACCTTGGGCAACAGCTCAATCAAACTGAACGACAGCGTGCATTTGCTGTAATTGTGATCGACAGGACACTTACGTTTACGTATTCAGGCGCCCCACTAGTTATACGTCCAGGGTCTAAGAATTCATAACAACTTCTTGCATCACAATATACTGCCGCACCACGTGTTGCACGTACAACGGGACGATCTACTGGACGTACTGGACGGCAAGTAAATAAGTCCCACCACTTTGAAGACAAAAGGAAGCGCCGCCAAGTGACGATAAACTGTTACAAAAATAAACATCCGGGTCACCACACAATGCCACACACAATTAGCATTGCACCACACGTGCCCCGGCAGCCCAGCACTGGGTCAGATCTCCCGTCCACAGCGTTGGCGCCTTGCCGCCCGCCACGAGCCCGCAGCTCGCGCCGGCCCGCCTAGTCCTCGGTCTTCTTGCCGCCCTTCTTGGCGAACCACTGATCCGACTTATCGGCGTCGATGGCCTTCTGCAGGAGGTCGTCGGCGGCCGGGTCGACCTGCGACAGCTCGGCGAACCCCTCGGCGCCGACCAGACATATCTCGTGGTCGTCCGGGTCGGCCAGGATCACCACGCTCACGTCCGCTTTGCCGGGCGTCTCGAGCGTGACCAGCGGCGTGAGCACGGTGCCGCCCTCCGCGCGCGCGCGCGCCTCGGCCGGCGCCAGTTCGGCCGTCGGGCACGCGAACGCGCTGCGACCGAACGCGGCGGCGCGCTCGATCGGCTCCGAGAGCTGCACGAGCTCGAGGCTCGCCTGCCGGCCGCCGAAGCCGAGCAGCGCGCGAGATGCGGCGCGCTCCGCCACGGTCATGCCGATGATGCCGCCCCAGTATGCGACGGAGCGGGCCAGGTCAGAGCAGGCCAGGCCCCAGCGGCGCACGGGGTCGTCGCCGGCCGGCACGTCCTCGTCGCGGAGCCGGAACGGGTAGCCGCCGGGCGCCTCCAGCACGAAGAGGTCGCCCTCCTCGCGCATCGGCCAGCCGAGCCGGCGCGCGTTGGCCACCGCCTGGCGCGAGTGGATGGTCAGGCCGAGGAAGTCGTTGCCGCGCCGGTAGCCAGACAGGCCATAGTTGTAGGTGAGCTCCACCACGAAGTGCGAGTCCTCCGGCCCGTAGCCGACCATCGTCTTGCTCCACTTGCCGTCGTAGGGCCCGTTGCAAGTGGCCTTGCAGCCCTCCTCGAACTCTTCGTGCCGCAGAATCTGCATTCCCAGGATCTCTTTGTAGAACTTGGCCGTGGCAGTGCGGTCACCCACCTTGAAGACGTAGTGCAGCGCCCTTCTCGTCGCCATGGTTGTGTGCTCCTGACTCCTGAGGTCAAGAGAAAAGCTGTCAAGATGACAAATGAGGTTGCCAACCTACGATGTCCCGGCAAATAGTTGCTGGTGGCGGAAAGTATAGCCCAATGCAAATGAGCATTGTCTTCAAATGTGTTGACTGGGAATTTCCTCGCTAAGCCTTATCCTTGGCAGTGCCTTGTTAGAAAGTCAGATGACAAAAGCAGGTGAAACACCCTGCATCATCCACACCAATTCTTTTTTCCCTCCCAAACCTACCCCTAAATTACTGCCTAGTGGCTGCACACTTCCCACCATTATATCAGTACACACTATGAGCAACTGAGTAGGGTGGGAGTGAGTTATGTCTCTAGTGGGCATTAACTATACCAAATGCTCTGCTGTGAGAACTAACAGAGAGGAAAATTGCATGCACCAATGGGTAGGGTAGAAGTGACTGATGTGCGTAGTAGCTAAAGTAAATGTTCTGTTGTAAGAATTGACCAAAGGTTTATGCAGCAATGGCTTGAAATGAAAGGAATAATTGAGAGGGTTGAGAGACTACTGTTTTGCCATCCTGCTCCCACCACTGCCAAACTACATGCATCAATTGAAACACGGGGCTACATGTCAGTGTAAGTTGTAGCATATCCCTATCCACAGAACTCTGTTAGCTTCCACCAACATGCTGCACCAGATTACAGCTACCTCCTACACACATTCCCAAGACACATGAACCTTAAGTTAGAAATAGACTGGTGGTAGGCATTCTGGTTTTTCTTGCCAGCTTGAAGTCAACTTGAGGAGGCCAAGGATCTGCCAAGGAGGCCAACTTGACTGTCACTGGTCCATTTGGTTTTGTGTTCTGGCCATGAATGCACATAAGTCAAACATTGAAAAACATTCCATGCACCATTTTGTGCACAAACTGAAAAAAACCATGAAGTCATGAAATTTAGGAAAAACCTCTCCACATGGGCTGTCCCTGTAGCTGAGGGGATAAGACAGAGGGCCATCCTGTGTCATGGTGCATGCCTGGCTTTGATTCCATCTTTCACATTTCAGATTTGCCCAGCCCTGAAAATTTTAGACCATCTGATGAAGGCAAATGGATAGTGAAGGTGTTTCCAAGCAGGTGGTGGGACCAGGGAAGACAAAGGGAGGGTCTGATCCCTTTCAGCCTCATCTTAGAAACCTCCCTCCTGAGCTGTTCACTCAAACATGCAGACTGTGACACAACAGGCTGATGATGTGCTTGTTCCCTTTAAAGGCAAGGTACACAGGGTCTACAATGCTGCATGCATGTACATCCATCCAGACAGGTCATCTCCAATGATACTGACTGATCCCCTCTGCACTCCCACTCCTAGTTCATGAAGGCATTATGACACCGAACAATGGGAACCTATTACCTTGGTAACATAAACCCAAGGAAGCGGAAGCATTCTGTCACCAAAGCCATGCAAACATCCACAGATCACCATCAAATACAATCCAGCATAGAGAGGTAAGCAAAGCCTAGGATACAAGCTGTGAAAGGCCTCACTCAATGTGGGCCGTAAGACTAGACTACCTATATTCTAACATTTCTACTTTTTCAGTGTTTTTAGGTCACATTTTGCTGGTGAGTTTGTTAAAATAATGTATGGGATCAAGTAAACTTTGAGAGGAGGGCATGCCTTTCTTTGGGCTGCAAAGTTCCATCATGTTGGTTTATCATAAAGATAACCTATTACCATCATCCAAGCACAGGATGGGCTGTGCTCTGTCCTGTACCCCATGCACAAAGCACCCTGGAAACATTACCCAGAAAAGAATGTGTGAATGCTGTCCTTCCAACACTGGGTTTTTGTTTGTTTGTGTCAAGTTTGTGACATTCCAAAATTGGAATTATTCACATTTTGGATTTCTCACCATCACCCCCATGCAGTAAATGGATGCAGAACAACCAGTGAATAAATGTCAATTTTAGCTACAAGCATGTATCTGCTAAATTTATAAACAGAGCCCCCAAAGATTCTGGGGAATCAGGTTAATTTTGAGCATAGCATTATTGAGGTCAGAAGAAGGTGTGAACAGCTCAGGCATCATGGGATGGGGTAGAACATAATATGATAGAATTATGTTACCAATAAACACCAGATGACAGATGAGCATGCCTCCTCTCCCCATTACATCTAGATTAAGCAGATTATGATCACATGTTTGCATTTATAATTTTAAACAAGGTTAACATACTAGTATACAACTACTTGCATCAAATGAAAAAAAAGGTTTGTTCAATGGTCCATTGAAAATTTGAAAGCATTACTCATGCACACAAAAACAACAAATAATCCTGTGACAGGATGCAAAGGACATGAATGTAGTGATATCAAGCCCCCTATCAGTATCTGAAATTTGGTTTTGGCTCTTGACAGAGATCTAACCCAGGTAAATTTGCACTGTATTCACAGCTGGCACTGAAGGACATTCTTTGGCAGCAGATGACAGTAAACACCATGTTCTGGCTGGTCTCAGTGACTGCCAGGGACCATTAGAGATTGGCTGCTTGAAATTTATAGCTGTGTGTATTCTTAAGGTTTAAGTCCTAGTTATGGCTGATAGAAACCAGTGCTTAAAATGTTGTGCACCTGTTGCACAATTCCTCAAAGCACATTATGATAACTTTATGATTGAAATGTCACGCAAGCCACAATACTATACAAAGGAGCATCCAGGGCATAGTAGTTAGTGCAGCTACATTCTAGCCAAGTTACAATCTTTCTCACCTATGGGAGAGATTCTGGGGCAATATGATACCCCCATAGGCTTTTACTGACCTATGTACACTTAATTTGGGATCAGGGGTAAAATTTCGGTTTTCTTCAAGTACTTCACCTTTTTTAGAAGAAGAAAAATCTCCACCGCGAGCGTTTTACGCGCAGTGCGGCACGGGCTCAACCAGCTCGCGTTAGCAGGATTGCTCGACTTTGAAATCATACAATCCAAACGACATCTTTAGCACCAAAAGTAATGAGCAGGCAATTAACATTATTCACTACGTCGTTTCGACCACTGCTACTCACAATGCTCGCATGATTGCCTATCATCTTCAAGAAATAACCATCTGATAATATAATAATTTCGGCCACAAACAGGTCATATGATTTTTAACACGCGGACAGCCGACGATTTATAGCATGTACTAAAAGGGCAACATAAGCACCAAATTACGTACATTCGAGCAATCAAGATAAGCATCCCAGTTCTTCACATTCGTGTCTCGCATTGATGTTTCCAAACAGACAGCACAGAGAAACACCCAACAATGTCGGCGGAACTGAAGCATTTCCAGCAGTCTTAAAAAACGGACCAAGCCACGGGAACCAAACACCGAAGCCAAGCCAACGTTTTCGGTACGGTACATTGACGTCTATTAGCGCAGTGCATCTCATACACGAGTCCGGATAATGTGATTCACACTTATTAGGACCAAACACATCGTGACGACATTGTCGCTTAAACTACAACACTTGGGTTCAATTAATATGACTACTCTGTTGCCGTGACATGCTGCAATCATGTGCAGAGGGACTGTCGTAGTACCCTCTTAAAGTAGTGCACCTCCTGTACAATTCCAACGAGCAAGGCTTGAAATCGCTCTGACATCTAGAGACATACTCTGCCGAGATAATATGCCAACAGCCACCCTAAGGAAACGGATCAAGCCTCGGGAAACGAAGACTGAAGCAAGGCCAGCGTTTTCGGTACGATACATATACGTCTGTTAGCGTAGTGCACCTCACACACGAGTCCGGATAATGCAATTCACACCTTAAGAACTGAACACGTCGTGCTGACAATGTCGATGGAACTGCAAGACTTCGGTCCGATGAATAAGACTCATGCATTGCCGTGAGATGCTGCAATCATGTCGTGCAGAGGGACTGTCGTAGCACCCTCTTAAAGTAGTGCACCTCTTGCACAATTCCAACGAGCAAGGCTTGAAATCGCTCTGACATCAAGAGACATACTCTGCCGAGATATTATGCCAACAGCCACCCTAAGGAAACGGATCACGCCTCGGGAAACGAAGACTGAAGCAAGGCCAGCGTTTCGGTGCGGTACATATGCGTCTATTAGCGTAGTGCACCTCACACACGAGTCCGGATCATGCGATTCACACTTATTAGGACTAAACACATCTTGCTGACGATGTCGGTGGATATGCAAGACTTCGGTCCGATGAATAAGACTCATGCATTGTCGTCAGATGTTGCCATCATTGGCGGGCGGACTGCAGTAGCACCCTCTTCAAGTAGTACACCTCTTGTATAATTCCAATTGGCGAGGCCTAGAAACCACTCTGACATCCAAAGACGTTCTCTGCCGAGATAATATGCCAACAGCCGCGCTAAGCAAACGGACCAGGCCCCGGGAACCGAAGACTGAAGCAAGGTCAGCGTTTTCGGTACGGTACATATACGTATGTTAGCGTAGTGCACCTCACACACGAGTCCGGATCATGCGATTCACATTTATTAGAACTAAACGCGTCGTGCTGACAATGTCGATGGAAATGCAAGACGTCGGTCCGATGAATACGACTCATGCATTGCCGTGAGATGCCGCCATCATGTCGTGCAGAGGGACTGTCGTAGCACCCTCTTAAAGTAGTGCACCTCTTGTACAATTCCAGTGAGCAAGGCCTGAAATCGCTCTGACATCCAGAGACATACTCTGCCGAGATAATATGCCAACAGCCACCCTAAGAAAACGGACCAAGCCCCGGGAAACGAAGACTGAAGCAAGGCCAGCGTTTTCGGTACGGTACATATACGTCTGTTAGCGTAGTGCACCTCATACACGAGTCCGGATCATGCGATTCACACTTATTAGAACCAAACACATCTTGCTGATGATGTCGGTGGATATGCAAGACTTCGGTCCGATGAATAAGACTCATGCATTGCCGTCAGATGTTGCCATCATTGGCGGACGGACTGCAGTAGCACCCTCTTCAAGTAGTACACCTCTTGTGTAATTCCAATT